TTTCTTTCCTTGTCTGGCTTGCTTGCTTTCTTTCATGGTGGTTTTAGTTTGTTTTGCTTTGGTTTTTTCAGACAGTATCTTGCTACGTAGTTCGGGCAGACCTTGAACTCACTATGTAGCCCAGACTGGCCTCGAACTTGTGGCGATCCTCTGCCTTGGCCTCCTGAGTGCTGGGATTACAGGCGTGCGCCACCATGCCCAGCTTCATCTTGTCCATTTCCTCTCCCTCTTAGTCTTCCTATCCCTCACCACCCAAATATTATCCCTGTATTTTCAGCCACCTGTATGGTGAGTCTAGACTTGGGTTTCAAACTGAAGGAGTTGTCAGGAACTGTGTGTCTCTGAATGAGTAACTTCACCTCTGTCTACAATAAGAACACAAACATCTACTCTGAGTCATTATTGTAAAGAAAGATTGGATTAAATGCAATATTTTTTTCAGTACCAGGAATTAAACACTTCACCCTGAGTTACATCCTTGGTCTCTTTTTTATTTTTTTATTTTCAAACAGGGTCTTGGTACGTGGCTAAGTTACCCAAGTTGGGCTCAAATTTGCAATCGTCCTTCCTTGGCCTTTCAGAGCACTGGGATTATAGACATGTGCCACCATGCTTGGCCTAAATGCAATATTACAAAGCTTAGGGAAGAGCATGACTGTAGATTATTTGGTTACTCAGTTCGCCAGCTTGTAAACAAGTTGTCATAACAACAATAACAAGAACGACCATCTCTTTGGCAGCATTTGGTCTATGGTGTACAGGAAGCTAGGGATTGACACCAATCACCTCCTTCAATCCTCACAGTAACTCATCAGGTAGATACTGTTGTTATTTCCCATTTTACAGATGAAGAATCTAACACTAAGGCACAGAGGAGCCAAAGAGCTTGGTTATAAAGAATGAAGCTAAGATTCCAGCCTTGGCAATTACCCCTCACATCAGAGGATGGTCCTGGGGACCCTGAGGACTGAACACCCTTCTCAGGGATTAGGGAAAGGCACAAACAGATGGGCTGTGGGCTCACTGCCAAGCACAAGGTCTTTTACCCACACTCATGGAATGCAGGCTACGGATGTGCCTCAGTCCGTTGTGTGTTACTATAACAGACTATCTCAGAGTGGGTACTTGATAAAGAGAAGAAATTTTTTCTTAAATTTCTGGAGGCTGGAAAGTCCAAGTTTGAGGGGTCTCCAGCTGATGGGGACCTGTTTCCTGTGTCATCCTATGTCAAAGGGAGAAGAGCAAAGAGTAAGCACAGAGAGAGAGAGAGAGAGAGAGAGAGAGAGAGAGAGAGAGAGATGGCCACACTTATCCTGCTGCAGTGTTGCAGCAAAGTGGAACAGCTCAGTGTTAAAGCCAAGTGCTACAGCTACAGCAATTTGAAGGCTCGCAAATCCGAAAGTTACTTGAAGAGATGTGAGAAAAAGCTTTATTAGCCAGCTGGCTCAGAGGACCTTGTGTGCTCCAAATTCTAAGCAATGAACAGAAATGGAAGCAGACTTATATAGAGATCTACAGGGTAGTGGGGTGGGCGGGCCCACATGCTGGGTGGGCACGCTCACAGAAGTGGAGGGGCGGAATTAACAAAGCATTCTTGAAACATCTGGTAGGTACATCCCTCAGCTCAGTTACAGAAAGCTTTGATACATTGGGAAGGAACACTGTGCAGCACAAACGGTTACATTTCTGGAACAGAACATTTTATGGAAAAAAGACCATGGAGGCAAAGGCAAAGGCTAGCCTTGCTGTGTATTACTGCTTTATCCGTCTTTGTAGCAGGAGCCACTCTCCCATTCCTGGCATTAGTCCAGCAGAGACGGCAGAGCCTTTGTGACATAATCCTTGTGAAGATCCACCTTTCAGCACAGTCGCATTGGATATCAAGTTGTCAGCACATGAATTTTAGGGAACACATTCAGACTGTAGCTGGTGGGGAGCACCTTGGCAGGGCACCTCAAATTCTGCATCTCCCTCTCCCGTAGGTTCTACAGGTATAACTAGCAGAGAGTGAGGAGTGGGACTTCTCTCACCACCACCAAATCCAGGCCCTCTTTGGGGCTCCCCAGACACCTGCTGTAACCTCTCAGCCAGTGTCCCTACCCCTAAGTCCCTCCACCACACCTGTCAGTGGTCCCATCCTGTCACCACACCACAGAGCTTGATCCTGCTGATGCTGCACTTCAGAACCATGGGCAGCCACAAGATCAAGGCTGAGTTCCACTTGTGGGAGGCACCATTGAATTCAGACAGAACTCAATTCAAATGCCAGCTCTACCCTTCCCAAAGATGCTAAGCCTCGGTTTCCTGGTGTATAGAGTGGGGATCACGAATGGACACAAAGATCTCAAGGGCTTAGCCATTTCCTAGGTGGCCAGTGCTCTACACCAGCACCTGCCCCTCTTCCCTTCAGCAGCCACCTTAGGACCATGAGCCTCTGTCTCATCCAGGCCCTCAGATCCAATGCCCATTTCTGGACTCATCCTAAGATATGTGAAGTAGCAGCTGATTCAAGCTCTCAGTGCACGTCTTCCCAGTCATTTCCCATCAGGAAAGTCTTCAAGGCTCCATTTCACCTCAGCTACAGTTCACTGAGTGGCCCAGCTGCCAAGTCCTGCGCTCACCATTGCTCTCGTGTGGCTCACCCCGGACGGCTGGCCCTGCTGTGCCCCTGCACTCAACCAGGCACAGCTCTGTCTCTTTCACCTTCTTCCCTTTCCCCAGGTGCTCACTCTGCCCCTCAACCCTCTGCTCCTCCTCATCAAGGCTCAGCCTCACTGAGCACAATGCAGGAGGACTCTCAGAGGTCACCTTGGCCAGGTTCCCCGGGTGTTAGAGATTCTCAGATGATTGTTGCTATTTTTGTCACATCTGCATATTATCTGTCCTATTCATTGCTTGATTTAGTTGTTTATTTTGTTGACTCGTCTGTTTTTACCTTAGGGAAATCTGATATCACTGCCCTATGGATAAACTATTTTATTAGACAGGATGACCATAACAAAACACATAAAGATGGACAATGTCCATTCTTGCACCTCCTGTGGTGTGGCTGCATGGGGATAAGACATAAGGTCAACATCCCGCTTCTCGGACAGAAACACTGAGGCCAGGAGAGGGGCAGGGTTGGAGCTGAAGTGGAGATAGAGGTGGGGGTCTGGGGTCTTCTCACTTCTCTGTCTGCACTTCCCCTGTCCTTCTCTTCTTCCTGCCCACTTTCTTTCCTGGATCTGCTTTCTGTACTTGCTGTCTCCTGCTCTCCCTCTCCCTCTCCCTCTCTCTCTCCCCCTCCCCCTCCCCCTCCCTCTCCCTGCTTTCCTAGAACCTCTTCTTCCCACTCTTACTTAAATCATCCTCCAACTGTTGGATTCCAGCATTTGAAGAGGAAGGCTGCAGATTCCCACTGGGGAGCCAGCATAATTGACCCTGTGATAGTTTTTTCTCTTTCCCTTCGTAAGATTGCCTTTTCCCCTTGTGAGGCACGGTCAGCAAGCCCTGCATTAACTGACTCCTTGGATGGACCATGAAGACTGGATGTTTCTTTGCAGACCTTGGAAAAACCCCTAGAGGGTGATACTAATCCGGGCTGCAGCCACCCACCCCAGCCCTCCCACCCAGTGACCTTCAGCCAGCCCACTCTGCACCGTGTCGAAAGCGGGCATCTGTCCTGCTCACCCCTCCCTGCTCTCCTCTGCCTAGCTGTCCTTTCTTCCCCACTTCCTCCTCCTGGCACTTTCCACGCAGAGTGCCGAGTCACAGAGCCCATATGGACAAAGGGCCTTGGCCTTTGAGTTGTTGAAGAGCAGAGGTCAGGACTGGGTCATAAGACACAGTGATGAAAAGCCCCGTGTGTATCAAGGGCTTTCCCGTAAATTTTCTCATCCCCTCCTAATTTCTAAGGCAGATTGTCACTGCTGCCCGAGGCGGAACCTCCAGCTCCTCCAAAGAGGGAGAAGCAAAAGCTAGTAAAACTCTCAGTCGGACGCTTGGTATTTTCCACTCCATAAAGAAGGGCAGTGAGACTGGGCACTTGTTGGTCTCCCTGACTTTGGTCTTGGCTCCATCTGGGCACCAGCCTCTTGGCTCTGCTTTTCTGCACACTGTCCCACTTGTGCTTGGCACCAGCCTCTACAGTGTCTCTGGTGCAGGAGCAGTTGTCTCAGAGCCGATTCATCCTGCATTCATTCTGCAAACACTGTCCATGGGATGGGTGATCTCCTTGGGACTCAGTAGAGGTGGAAAAGAGACAGTGACCTCAAGTTGTTCCGCTCAGGTGGGAGACAGAGACACCCTCCCAGCCATCAACCAGACCGTGTAGGTCATGCCAGACTTAGATTCTGGATCCTCCAGAAGACATTGGTCAAAAACTTCCCTGGGGATGTGCATTTCAGGGCACTTCCCACTTCCCTGGAGCCTTCAAGAACTGTCTGTTGAGAACACAAGACCACTAAGACCCAGTGCATGCCAACATCCAGATCAAGACTGCAGCATTGCTGCTCTGTGCCCAGTCTTGGCCCCTGTCCTTGCCTAAACACACACTTGGTCACATATCCTTCTCTCTACCAGAAGCCTGCTAGGGCCTGACACATGTATGTCGAATGAGTTCCATGAATGAATGAATGAATGAATGAATGAATGAATGAAGGTGGTCTAACTCTACCCATTGGCAGCTGAAGAAACAGGTTCAGGGAGGTGAGTGACTTGCCCAGGATCCCACAGGGAGTGAGCAGCAGAGCCAGGATCATCATCGGCCTCTGCCTATGCTCCCAAAGCTTTGACACTCGGCCCAGGAGGGAGCTGGCCTTCTCCCCAAGCTCTTTCTGGAGTAGTCCCCCCGAAAACCCTGACTCAGCTGGACAATAGTTGGGCAATATTTCCTCTTTCTTGACCACAGGACTTTCAAGGAAGCCTAGAGGAGGAGGGAAGCAGATCCATGCAAGTGTCTCCCTAGCTGCTCCTATAAAGGGAAGAGGGAGGGAGGTTGGGGTGCTTTGCAAGGAAGTGGCTATCTCCTCCTGCACCCCAACTCTGAGCCCTGAGCTGCCACTCTCTCTCCAGGCCATGGCAGGCTCCGAGACCATTGCAGCCAGCCTCCTGCTCCTGGCCCTTTGCAGTCACTGCATCATGCCCACAGGTGAGACGTCCAGCCCCGGCCCGGGGCTCTGGGCAGGTCAGGGCTTCGAGGGCACAGCTGGGTTGGCACCAGAGAGGGTGGAGGTAGCCCAAGCAGCCTGGGGTAGCCCATGAGTGCCTAGGGTGTCTGGTGCAGGGCTGAGCTCCATGGCAAAGGACACAGCTCTCTTTTCTGTCCCCTTTCAGACTCTGTGGTCATCCCCTCTTCCTGTTGCATAAACTTTGTTTCCAAGAAAATCCCTGAAAGCCGGGTGGCGAGCTACCAGTTGTCCAGCAGGAGCGTCTGTTCTAAGGCAGGGGTGATGTGAGTATTTCTCCAGGATAGGGACAGGGGACAGTGAGCCTCTAGGGTCAGCTCTGCAAAAGGTAACTTGCCTCTGCTTCCTCAGCCATAAAATGAGGTGCTAAATATAGGCAAGGCACTGTTGGAGAGCAGAAGACACCACCTTGATGAATCCCCAATCAGCGGTCCCGTGGGGGGGCGGTCCCGTGGGGGGGTGCGATCCATTTACAGATGAAAACTGCAGCTCAGAAAGGTGACTTGCTCGAGGTCACTCAGGTAGCTAGTTCTCTGGGCTCCTGATGATTTTAGAGTTGCCTCTTCCACAAGGCAGCAGTGGGCTCACTTTGTAAACAGTGGCACTCTATAGAGCTGTGGTGGCAAACCTGTTAGAGACGAGTACCCAAAGTGCCGCCCTAAAGCCACTTATTTATCCCAAAGTGCCAACCCTGCAATGAAACCTGAATACTGAGGTTTGAGCGTAGAAAAAACTTAACAAAGTTAACATCTTTTGTCTTAAAAGAAATACACAATAACACCCATGCATAGATTTGCAACCACTGCAATAGAGCCATTATTTAAGGTAATTTCTTAAGGTTAATTTCCCCAAGTGGCATAAGATTTGACCCAATAGCCTAGCACCCTCGGAGCTGGCTTGGAGGGGGCACCCATCCTCCCCTCCTAGCTCAGGCATCCTTGCTAGCTTTGCTCTTGCCTCCAAGTGCAGCATGAGCTTTGGTGGCATTTTTATTCGAGGGGTATTGCATTTTCTTCTCTTCCCTGTGGACAGGGACTGTGTCCTCCTATCAGATCTTGTGTGCCAGAGAGGTCCCTGAATGAGCCCAGTATTCCCTACACCATCATTCTTCCTAACACTAAAACAGACACACCGAGAGGAGACGGTGTCCAGAACCCACTAAGAGGCCAGGATCCTACCCACGTTCCCATTAAGTGCCACCGTCCGAAGCCCTGCCTAACCTCAGGCAAGCCCTGCCCTTCTTCCCACAGCTTCACCACCAGGAGCGGCCAGAAGTTCTGTGGCGACCCCAAGCAGCCGTGGGTGCAGAGGTACATGAGGAACTTGGATGCCAAGCGAAAGCAGCTCTCCCCGCAGGTCCGGGCTGTGGGTGGCAAGGTCCCGGTGCACAGATGCCGCAGTAGCAGCACCACCCTCTAGTCTCTGTCTGCCCTCTTGCCCCTCACATGCTCCTTGGGTCCAGGGGTGAGTCAGAGGGAAAGGGCAAGAGCTGATTTTCCGGCAGTGAGTCTCACTCTCAGGGAACTTGTCCAGTGTGTGAAAGCCCAGAGGGAACAGGCTGCCCCCTGGGGGAGAAAGGGCAGTGGCAGCCCTTCTAGTGCCCCCATCCCCACGCCTGTGGCGCATCCTGCCTGGGTTGCAGCCTGCAGCTCGCTCTGATGGTCGCTGGAGTGCTACAGTGGGCCTGAGGCCATCTGTCCGTCCTTTGGGGATGGTGACCTGTCCACAGCAGCCGCTCCCCGGCACGGTGGGGGTGACCCAGGCTGCTCCCACCTCCAGGGCTTCGAGTTAACAAAAACCCCACCAAACCAGGAGACCTCTCTGTAGCTTGATTCTGATCTTCCTTGGGAACCTTCCAAATTGTCAGGAATTTTGTAAAGAAAAGAATTTGCGGGGGCAGCATCTTGGTATGTAGTTCAAGCTGGCCTGGAACTCGCCAGCCTGGGTGGTTACGTCTCTGTGAAGATGGGGCTTCAAGGAGATTTCTGCTTAGTGACAGTGCTTGCTCCTGGCTTCTTTGAGGACAAAGACCTGCTCTGCCTTCACTACTGAGCTTTCCCCACATTGTCATGAAGGGCAAATGGGGTGAGGCTGAAGGAGGAGAAAGACTTCAGCTTTTTTTTCTATGCATGAGATACTGTGGGATTTGTTTGTCGAGAGTAGACACAGTCACTGTTGTCAAATAAGAACGCTAGTAAAATCTGATGTCTTCTTTGAAGGCAAGTGTGTCTTGTCTGTTTGTATCTCTCTTGGGAGCAGGGTTGGGCATGAACAGTAGAACAGTGCTGCAGAAGATGTCCTCAGCCACCTCTCCTGGCTGGGAGGGGAGGAAATCACCTGAGCTCAGGGCACACTGCCAGGGGCTTGGGCTGCCCTTGGAATCCAGGCACAAGGTTTAAAAAGGAAAATTCCAAGGCTTGTGGGATAGCTCACTGGTAAAGCATTAGCCTAGCATGGGCTAAGTTCCTGGGTTCACTCCTTAGCACTGCAAAAATGAATAAAAGGAAAATTCCTTATACCAATTCAATTCAGTCAATTTTATTTGACAAAATAAAGAAAAAAAAATGACTTGCAAACCTAGCAGCCCACAGCACCAAAGCAGATCCTGAGAATTTCAAACAACAATTTGATGTGTCAGCACTTTTAGAAAAACAGAAGTGAGGTATAGAAAACAACTTAATTGAGCTGGGTATAGTGGCATCCACCTGTGCACTGAAGGCTAAGACAGGAGGATCACCTGAGTTCAAGGCCAGTCTGGACTACATGGGGAGACCCTGTTTCAAAAAAAGAAAAAGAAGGAAAGAAAGAAAGAAAACAATTTAATTGGGTCCATTGTAGTCAAAGAACCAGTCAATTGAATATTGCTTAACTAGTTCATTGTTCAGTTAGTACGTATTAGCTACAGAGCCTCTTGCAACTATTATAGACAGCTGAGTTAGGTAAGAATATTATAGGCAATCTGGTAGGGCTGTGCCCTTAAGAGTTAGGACAAAAGTAAAACACATTACAACTGTGGCCAAAGACGCATCCACTGGAGACCAGGAATCAAGATAAAGATTAAATGGGCCAGGGATTTAGCTCAGCAGTGACACACCTGTCTTTTTTTTGAGACAGGGTAGTTGAGACTGACCTAGAACTCACTATATAGCTCAGGCTGGTCTCAAACTCACAGCAATCCTCCTGCCTCAGCCTCCCAAGTGCTGGGATTACAGGCATGCACCACCACACCTGTCTTGAGAGAGCAAGGTCCTGAGTTCAATCCCCAGTACCAAAAAAAGAAAAAAGAAGGTAAAGATGAAAATGATAGGGAAAACCTTAATAAGTGAAAATTTAGGAAATGTCACAATATAAAATAACTTCTGGCCCTCACCCTGCTTAGTTCAGAATTAACTGGTACCCGGAGACACCTACTCTCCCCACAACAGTTTGTAAGTGAAAAGAACCATTGTTAGCTTTGTTAATCAAACAGGCTTACTTCCCCCTGGCTAGAGTAGGTAATTGAATGAATCTAAAAGGTAACTTCCCTAACAAAGAACTGCATCCGGGTTGAAATTCACCTGCCTTGCTATCATGTTTTGGGTATCTGTGAAAATGCAGTGTAACCAACTGTGTAAGATCAAAGCTGTAAAACCCTATAAAAGTAAGAGTTGTAGCCCAGTGGGGGAGTCAATCAGGGCACTGCCATTAGGTGTGATCGATCCCCATCGATGGAGTAAACTTTTTAATTTTACTTCCATTGTGCTGCCTCTCCGTGTGTCACTTACCGTCTCCTTCCACAGCAAAATGACCAGGCCTGTATGCTTCCCCAAAGGACAAGATAAATGGCAGCACTTGGCCTAATAAAATCTAGATAGACATCGATCACTCTGGTGGGTGACCAAGGCCTCCAGATACATCATTTTCTAGATAAAATATTTGTTTTTTCCATGCACACTTGTTGCACGACTTGTTTCCCCCTTGGACTACCATGACCTAAGCGACTATGCTTGTAGCATTGGTTGATCATGGCTGTGGTCCACATTGTACCCACATGACTTTTGCTCTATAAAACTTCCCTAAAAGTGGGGCCCTTGGATCGGGTCCCCTCCTGCCTTTCAGGAGCTATTCTCTCAGGAAATATTTCCTACTCTTTTTTTTTTCCCTCAGGACTGGGGATCAAATCATCTTGGCATTGTTTCCCATTCATAAGAAATATTGAAACACTCTCTAAAATAATAGGTTCCAAGGCCAGGAATTTAGCTCAGTTGTTCTGCCGCCTGCCTCGCAAGAGCAAGGACCCGAGCTTGATCCCAGTACCATAAATAAATTAATTAATAGGTTCCAGGGCCAGGGATGTAGTTTAGCGCTGCTGCACCTGCCTGGAAAGTGCAAGGTCCTGAGTTTGATTCTCAGTACTGCAAAAAAAAGAAGAAAAAAGTTCCACAAATCAAAGGCAGCTGGGCACAAAAATGATTAAAGAGACGTTCTTTAAAAATTTCCATTTGCCTCTGAGTGATTCTGGTTTATCCTTTTGGATTTTGTACTTTTTTGTATAAGGTATAAAATTGAAATAAAAATCCAGGCAAACACAACAAGAAATAAATGGCTTCATGAACTGTGTGTAAGGGATCCCCACGTTGCCACCTGGAACCGTGTGTCACTATTTAACATAGAATTCCAAGCATTTCAAAACGGGTCTTGCAGAGGATTCTCAGGCAGAAGCGAATCTATGTATTCCACAGCCAACAATGCCAAGCTGAAGACACCGGAGCTTCTCTTAGCTGCCACTTCTCAGATCTCTGCAAGCAGCTTTCTAGTTCTCAGGGATTTCTGACTTCACAAGCTCACGGTAGAGTTTTAGACTCCAGAAACTTGAGAATTGAGGCTGCAAAGTTAGCAGTGATGCTCTCCTTCCTTCCTCAACCGGTTCCTAGTGAATGACGCTGTTGCCTACTAAGGCATCTCATATAAGAGGTTTTCAGTCTCTCCTACCTCCACTGCTTGGATTAAAATCTTCCACTCTTACCAGTGTGGACACACTTATTTCGAGCATAAAAAAGGGAAGGAGCCGGGCACGCCTGTAATCCCAGCGCTCCAGAAGCTGAGGCAGGATGATCGCCACAAGTTTGAGGCCATCCTGGGCTACATAGTGAGTTCAAGGCCAGCCTGCACTACACAGGGAGACCCTGCAGCACCACAAGTAGCTGCTGGGCCCAGCCACCAGGTTTGGTGACCTCCTCAAAAATTTTTGTTTTTAATTTTAAAGGGGTAGGGATGTAGCTCAGTGTAAAGGCCCTGGATTCAACTCCAGCACCTCCCCACACACACAAAAAAAGCCCAAAGGCAGAGAAGCCCTATACTACCAGGAGCCAGAATCCACCAGCTAACAAAGGCCCAGTAGTAAACATTCAATACACAGCTATTCAAGTCGCTTTGCCTCTAATACAAAACAAAACAAAACAAAAACATATATGTAAGACTTAAAAGTCTCACTTCCACTCCACGGAGCGCAAACAGCCCAAAAGGCCTTTGCAATGTTGGGTCTTAAAGCCCAATGAGGCTCCATGAGCGCTATCGAGGAACGAGAAACCCAGGAAGGAACACACCAGGCTAGATGGTAAAAGACCTTTATTAGTCTGGCCAGATGGCACTCTCAGAACCAAGTGGCTGGCTCAGAGAGGCCCCTAGCTCAGGGGCTGAGGTCCTCTTATAGGGAGTAAAAGAGGGGGTTAACATTTTTGGGCTCACAGACAGGGGACAAAGGTCTGCTGACTTGAGCTGGTGGTCAGCAGTCACATGCTCAACAGTCACATATTGATGAGTGACAGGTACCACCCATAGGATGTCTCAAAGGTCACCAAGACACTCCGGATGAGCAAACAGTTTGTCAATTAACTTGGGGCTCTATGTCTGGAGTCTCTAATTTACAGGTAGATTCAGATCTGGACTTCAAACAATACAAGAGTGATACGCATTCTTAGGCCAGGGCTGGAACAAAGGTCGGGGCTGTGGCTACAATGGGAGGGGTTCAGGACACTGTCTCCTAGGCCCTTTGCCATTTAGCAAGGGCTTGTAATTTAGGTCCCACATTCCCCACTGATTTTTGGGCCTAAATCAAATCATTGATTTATTTATATCTAGTTCTAATTCTTAAGAAAGGAATACACTGTAAAAAGCAACAGGTTATCATAATACAAATTCCTAATGCCATTATACAAAGTATCGGCTGCTTTAACCAGGTAATGTCAGGCAACCAACTCATTAGCCATTTAAACAAATCCCAGCCTATCTGTTCATTATGAACCTTTGTAGCTAAGTCTTTGAGTGCTTTTATGTCTTGCTCTCAATTCGTCAGATTGAAGCAGCACATATTTTTAATTCTTTCACAACCCTGATGGTGAAATAACAGCAAATAGTCTATTGCTGCTCTATTGTCTAAGATTGCCTGTCTCTGCTCCTGGAGCTCTTGGTTAATTAGTGCCAGGGCTGCAGAGGTGGTGTTTAGTCCCTTGACTACCTTGCAAGCTAGTTTTCTAACCACCTTTTCAGCATGAATTCCAAACTTGCAAGCTAGTTTTCTAACTGCCTTTTCAGCATGAATTCCAATTGCAGACTGACTTATTACAGAAATAATCATAGGAATAAGTTCACATCAGCATTTAAACAAATTTCAGTCAAATTTAAGGATTCAGCTAACTGCACCCAAACATTTTTAGTATGGCCTAAGTTTCCTTTGGGCAAAGCTGTTATAGTCCCAGGGAAGATCACCCAGATGATGATGAGGCAGGTCCAGCTGATTGAAGTTTTACTTTCAGTTCTCCGGGCTTGCTGACAACTCTCCATCTCTCGGGCGTCTCTGGGTTGTCGTTTGTCCCGGGCTTGAGGTGGTTTCAGTGGATCCACGTTGAGTGTCCAGCGACCTTCACAGCCAAGGGGGTAGACAGGATGACCGGGAAAGGCCCCTTCCATCGTGGCTCTAATGTCTTGGAATCGAACCTGCGAATATAAACCAATTCTCCCGGCTTATAGGGCAGCGGCTGTAGAGGTTTTTCAGATGGGAGGGTCAGAGACTCCC